ATTAAGAGGTTTTAAAGAAAGGGCTGGGAGTTTAAGATATGTTTAAAAGATATCAAAATTTTTTATTTCTTAATGTGAATAAAATTAAAATTGAAACTATGATATCATATCAAGAATACATAAATAGATTAAAGAAAAAGAAGATTTCTGAAAGTCAGTTAATTTAATTATATTTACAGAATAGATTGAAGATAAATAAATAGGAAATAAATAATAATTATAAAATCTCATATTGCAACACTTAAATCTTTAAAACATGAATTTATTTTGTTAATTTAAAAGAAAGTTCATTAAGCTTTGTAAATAATCAACATTTAGTTAATATGAATAAAATCACAACAATAATTGTTTTATGAAAATGATACTATTTCTTATATTACCCAAATACCTTAATTTCAGAAAAAACTCAGAACCATATTTTTTTCATTATCAAAGTACTATAATTGCAAATTTTTATTCTTAATTCTACTCAAACCCAATATCTTCATATTCTTAATAGCTATTTATTTCTGAAAATTTTTATTACAATTTTTAAAGAAATTAAAATATTTTTAAGTTTTTGTATAATTTCTGATAAATATTCATGAATATATAATGATTTCAAATTTATTCTAGTATTTACTAAAAAATTTCTATCAGTTTAGATATATTATGGCTGCTAAATAGATGAATCAATCTTTTAGGCATTAAGACAAATTTCTAAAATATACAGTGAATAAGTAAGTTAGAAAATATAATTAACCAATTTTAGGAAAGTTCGAATAAAAAATCAAAAATTTTACTTGGCCTAATTATTCAACAATAAAGATGGTAAGAGTTTGTATTTTATCAGAGTTACAATTGAATCAAAATAAATTGAGTAATTATTATTTGATTATAATTCCTATGAAACCTTTATGAATATTACTTTTACAATTTACCTCAGTCATTAGAGGTAGCTTGGAAAAATGATGGAAATTTTATAACAGGGCTTAGTGATAATGATATAATCTACCTTTATAAAACATACGCTTTGTTCTAACACCCCTATTACTCCTCCTTAGAGTTTAGGTTTGAATAATAATTTTCGTCATGTTTAGTTAAGTTTAATTATTTGACAACTTTGTTTATAACTCAAGAAACTTACTGAAAATAATGTCTATCAGTGCTACAAATTGTATTTATTGTGTTAAAAGAGGTCTTGCCAATAAAGTAATGTTTGAGCTGTAGATATAAAAAATTGTGAACCCATAACTTAAGATTCAAAATATCTTTCTACATTTAAATTTAATTAGAATGATGTCTTCGAATGAAGTATGGGTTAAATGCTAATATCAATTTAGAAAAAAAAAAAAATAATATATTTTTTTCAGAATTTTTCGTAAAATTTAGCTCAAGTTATTTAAGCAATATTACTAAATTAAAATTAGAGATTGATTAACTATTTTTTGTTGTTTTTTTTTGAACTCAAATAAGGTTTTTATATGATATTATTATTTGAATGAATTTAAGATTCCTAAATGATTTGTGGATATCTAATATTGACCTGAAAAATGATAAAGAAATTTTAATGATTTATAATAATAATATTAGAATCATCTAATATTTCAATATATATTTATTAATCATATTCTTAAAGTTCACTTACTTGTTACTATATAATAATTGCATAAAAAAACAAATACAAATTTAAAAACTTAATCAATCAATAAGTTGTATTTAATAAAATAAGTAATTTATCATTTATTTTTAATAATCATTTAAATTCAGATAACAATAAAAGAATATTAATTTTATTGAAAATAATAAATTAAATGCATATTCTTTTCATTCTGATATCACTATTACTTGTATATTCAGATTTAAACTGCAAATAAAATCAGCATGAGTTCTGGTTAAAATCAAATTTCAGAAGGCTTTATAAAGATGTAGCATCTTAATCAAATGGAGCAATTCTTTCAAATGCAAGGTCGATTTTAACTGTTGGAGGCACTTTAAATATTAGTCCTTTAAAAGATTCTCTATAAATCCATGGGGAAGATCCTCATTTTTATACACGAACTTCAATTGATATATAATTTACACAACTTTATGAGATTAATAGAATAAAAATCTGGTACTATGATTTTGAATATAGAATATTCAGTTTTAAAATAATTGCAATTGTATAAGATAATATTGAAAAGGAATTGTATTTAGGGTATCATTAAAAAGGTCTGGTAACGATAGAATTTGAAGATTAATTTGTATAAAAAATAAAAATAATTCATTTGGGCAGCACACATGGTGATTTAGCTATTTTAAAAATCTAAGCTTCATATGTAATAAAGAATTTACTTTGAGAAGTTGATTTAGAATTGATCATTAAAAATAATAGTTAATTATTTCTGTTATCATGAGTCTAAAATCAAAAAAAACATACAATTATATCTTCGTTTTCTTAACAAAAATGATCAACTTTTAATATAAAATAATTAAATATTATTTATTTACTATTGATTATAAATTGGTAAATTTTTTTATTATATCGAAAAAGGGAAAAAATTTGAATAAAACTAATCATTTTTCAGCTTATTAATTAATTTACGATAAATTAATCTTTTTTAGGTTTGGGTTTGGGTTTGGGTTTGGGTTTGGGTTTGGGTTTGGGNTTTGTTGTTATTCTTATTGCTCTAATTCTTAAATCCCTTTTTAGTACAATTTGTCCCTTACATTTTTTGACATAACATGCAACTAAACAATTGTAGAATAATTTATAGTTTGTCTAAATACTTCATAAATGGCTATACTGAAAAATCGATACAAATATCTTCTGCATTTTAGTAATTTTGAAGTTTATACATTGTGTAAATTTGGAATTGATTATATTCTAGTTAAGATGCTTAATTTTTAATAATATAAATATCTTATTTTTATATATGAATATGGTATTTTATACATTTTTAAGTTCAATTATTGATAGATTCATTCCTCTTGTTTATCATCTTTGCATACTTAATGATTTGATTTTCTTTTTTTATATATTTAGTTAGTTCTATAGATTTCTTATTCAATTAATCTAATATTGGAGGGGGTTAATTCATTAATAAAGATGAAAAATTAAATCATTTTAACATATTTCATTATGAATTATAACAATCATATCTATTTTCACTTGAGTAGGATCAGGTAATTTAGCAAGTTTGTAACTTGTTTCATGGTCCTTCTTCTATTCAGGTGCTGGCTTTAAACACAATTAATAGTAAATAGAGTCAATGAAGCCATTGACTTGATAGTATGATTCCTAATATGGTAGAGAAATTGTTACATCTTTAAATTGATTGAAGTTTTTAATGCACTGCTGAGTTAAAGTTCTCATTTTTTCTGTATACTGTTCTACAGATTCCATTTTTAAAATAAAATAACAGATATTTAAATTAATGATTTATATTTCTAGTAAATAAAAATAAGTATTAATAAATTAGTATAGGTGTTTTTCTTTACTAAAAAGATTAGAGATATTAGAGATATTAGTAGTATTATTTATATTAATCTTAATAGACTAATATTAATGATTCTTAGTAAGTATTTAAATATTATTAGTTATATGAGTATTCTATCTAGTAAAGATAATTAAATCATTGCATACACTTATATATATCTTCTATATTGAAATATATAATCTAATTATAATTTGAATAATCATTTTTTATTGATTCTCTTGAAAGATTGTTTTATGTTTAATTAATTATTAAGGAATAGGAATGTAAAATTGAGAGAAAAAGAAATACAATTATGGAAAAATATACTTAATAATTAACAATTAACTAATTATGTTGGTGCAAGTTTATAATTTACAAATTTTTTTAATTAATAATAGGACAAAA